GAGCATGCAATTTGCAAATTGAAGAGCACTAAAATTGATAAGTATACGGATACGTTATGCACAAGTACGTACACACACACACACACACACACACACATATATATATATATATATATATACACATGCAATTATGCAAAATACAGATAATGACATTAACACCAAAAAACGCCACAAAACCAGAATTTTGCAAGCACGATGCAGTGAAAGGAGGCGAAGTGGCGATCCAATCGAACACACAAAATTGGAAGAATAAAAGTGATATGCACGCAGAATAGATATACAAAAACGTCTTAAGATTGTTATATGAAGTACAATATTCTGCATGCAAATGAAATAACGAATAAATAATTTAGAAAAATGTAAGATTACTTGTAACCGAGCCCAACTTAAGCGTTGTTTCCTTAAGACGTTTTTGCCCGACACACGTAGCAATCGTCTCCCAGGATAGAACGGTTCTTCGCTCCCAACGGGATTCCGGCGAACTCAAAGATGCAACGAAGGAAGATATTATATGGAGGATTGTGTGATGATTTTCGGATTGATGGAAAATGTTGGCAGTCATGGGTATATATAGAGCTCTGGCTAGGAGTCTCTACACCCAAAAGACACATTTAGAAAGAATGGTCTTGACCCTCCTTCTAAAACCAAAGGATGTGTCTATTGCCAAACATTATTCAAAATTGAGAGCGACTAATAGAGTTATCTTTAAGCCATATACTCGGGCGGACGGTTTAAGACTCTAACCCGAAACTCGACCCGACCAACTGAACGGTGGTGACGGTGTTTGCGTGTGAGATATAATTTCACACTTATCTTTCGGGAAACAATTTCTCATTCATTTCAAAATGATTTTAACAAATAATATTAATGACCATAATATTAATTTGTAAAATCATTTTTCCAACATACAATAGCAGCGGAGGCTGCTATATCTAAACCAAAGACAAATTCTGAGTTCACTTAACCTCATAGAAAAGTGTAGTTGATGAAGCTCTAAGAAGAATAGTGAGCGGAAGAACATTCTTTTCTTATACTTTGTAAATGTTGTAGTTGTGAACATTTTGATAATTTGCTTCCACTAAATGCTGCTTTGACCTTCAATGATGTGTGACGTTACATTGGATTAATACATTGCTTCCCTATTGGTGTTTAAACTTCAAAAGTTGTGTGTAGTTACATGATGTGCTTTGCTCTTTGTAGTACCGCTTACAATATTCCATCATTTCTACTATTGACTATTGGTGATGTTTACAGTATCATTTACATTCATGGACACTTTTATAAACAAACCTTCCAGTAGATACATTTCGAGTCTGTTCTTATGTAAAGACCAGCCTCATGCAAAGTGTGGAAAATGATTAGTATACATTACATTCAAAAAAATATCTACTCTTTATCTAAGAAAGTTGATTTTAAAAATTGAAAATGCTTTTTTACTGACACCATAACAGATAGCATGACTGGAAACAAAACTAATTGTAGCTGAAAGTAACCAAAAGAGAGCACTTTAAAACTAATTTGTACTTGAAAAGGAAAACTTCATTGTCTAAGAGTTCTAATAGAGGTAAAGATACCTGTAAATAGCAACCAAGCATACTTAAAATCCATGACCACCCCTAGATGCAAACCATACACCTATACTCGTGATTTTTAATCCTCCAATCCTTCATTAACCCAAAAAATAACCAATGGAGCGACTGTATTTTTTGACAACCATTTGTCATATTTCTCGTCTCATTTTTAATAACTAAACAAACTGCATGAAAAGCCTTTTAAAGTTGATTTAAGCAGACATATATATGGAGCTTTATTTCATTTTGTTGCCACAAAACACTTGGGGGAAATCCCAACATGCCCTAACCCCGCATCCATGTTATGGGGTTCAATAATGAAGGCAGAGGGCGTGCAATATTGATCACCGGGATACTGTATGTATTTACCAAATTTATTTGATTTCAATTTACAATCTAAGACAAACATTGGGCTTGTACCTATTATGAACATATAATACCCTTATTTCCTGAGAAAATATATAAGCATTTAAGTAGACATCATGCATAAGAACATAGAATTAAATTCTGTTTTTAAGATCATCCAAGTATTTCACCAAATAATAATATCGTGAAAAATAGTACATCAATAACTTAGTTGGTAGGGGTCCAAAAACCAAAGTGATTACACTTATTAAAAGTATGTCTATCACATAACAATTCATGAAATACAAATGCACTCATGATCAAGTTAATAATGATAATAATGATAATATACCAATTTCAGATTTGTTCTTGAAGAAGAAATCCTTACTGTGCATCACGGGTATGAAAATCAACAACATTGCCATGCTAATCACAGAGCAACTACACTTCTCGTTACGATAAGAAATGATCTATATCTATATGCGATATAATTAAAAAAAATGAAAAAATTCAACTTTTGGTCCCATGACTATTACACCACTTCCACATTAATCCCCTGAGTTTCAATTTAACCAAATGTAGTCCTTGACCTTTTCCACGTAACCACCCGTGGTCCTTCCGGCCACAATTCCGGCTAAATGTTACCGGAGACCATTTAATGAAGGGTAGTTGGGGGCATTTTAGTAAATTTAGATTACAAAAACGGCTACCTAATAAACTACTCAATTAAGTTAACTTAATTGTGAGCTAATACCGTCGTCTCCCTCTACCTCAAAAACCGAACTCTCTTCTCCCTCTGAAGAAAGCTTCCGTCAGCTCGACAAATCTCCAAAACCGTTCGAACAATGAGGACCCGTCTCGACCGCCGGCGTCAAGGAGAAGGAACAAGCTCTGAACGGCGTTGTCGAACAAATGCTGCTGATAAAGGTAAGTGGGTCAACTTTTTAACAAGAGTGGAAGAAAATAAATAATACTCGTATAAGGCTGAACTGAGGTTTTATTAGGTAGCCGTTTTTGTAATCTAAATTTACTAAAATGCCCCCAACTACCTTTCATTAAATGGTCTTCGGTAACATTTAGCCGAAATTGTGGCCGGAAGGACCACGGGTGGTTACGTGGAAAAGGTCAAGGACTACATTTGGTTAAATTGAAACTCAGAGGATTAATGTGGAAGTGGCGTAATAATCATGGGACCAAAAGTGGAATTTTTTCTAAAAAAAATCGTAATTTAAGGTAGTTTAGTTCCTAATTTCATGCCTATAGAAGAAAACAGGTTAGTTAGGATTTAATTTTTCAATGATAGCCAACTTTCAGATGACATGCAATCGAGTTAACTGGAAAATCGTTCCTGTAAAACCAACACAATTGAAAGGGTCAACTATTAGGAGGAAAAATTAGAATGGAACAGGAAGAAGACAAAATGATGCCCATAGAACAAAAAGGATACACTTTTAAAGTCATAGATATAGTTAGTTTATTTAACAAAAAGAAACAGCGAACTAACATGAACATGTTACTTGAGAAACCAACTTACGAATGAATGCAGTTGTCACTGCATCCAATATTCTAGTGGGAAGACCATACTCCCTTCTGCTATTTCAAAGAAAAGTAATAGAAGTAAGGCATTAATTAAGGATGTGTAAAAAGGATTTGAACTTTAATTTATATTCTATAACCAAATTGATTACCATATAACTCTGTCAATTTTACAGTAACTTTAGTTGTATTGGTTTTTCAATAACTAGGATTAGATCTAGAATAAATTAAAACAAATTGTTAAAGCTCGGAGTTTCATCATAAAATATCAAGAGAAGCTATCCAAAGACTTATATACGGAGTAGTATTTTACTTCATTCGTTCCACTAAAATTGTTCCATTTTACCTTTTTGGGAAATCCACTAAGATTATCACATACCAAAATTGGTAAATTTTGTGTGACTCTAAATCATTCTTATTTTATTCTTACTTTATCAATTCAATATCAACCACATAATCTCACTTTTCTTAATAATTGTGTCTCCCCTCTTGTCTCAATGTTAGTGAGGCGGAGGTAGTATTGTTATACAGCTTTTCGGTGTGAGACAAATACTCAAACACAAATCTATATCAAATAAACAAAGGTTAATATATATTTTCTGAAAAAATGTAAACGAGTCATTTTTGTAAAACAAAACTATGTAGGGAAATCCCACTAAGATTGTATCATACCAAATTTGGTAAAGTTTGTGTGACTCTAAATCATTCTTACTTTATCAATTCAATATCAAACACATAAATCCGGGTTTATGTCAGCGGAGGGAGTATATACACAAAACAACAACAACAACAACAACAAAAAACAATACTCCGTATATACTCTTATCTATATAAAAATGAGGAAACTTACTGTAATGGCGCGTTGCCTTTGACCAAGCCGAAAAAACCCGGTTTCATTCCGCAAGCTGTAGTACCAAGAAACCCGTATTCAGACTTCCAAAATCTCGAGATTCCCCGCGGGACGACCGTATGAATAAGATTCTCACGGAAGATCTATCACCGGTTTGTTTTTTCTCGAAATTCATTTGCATTATTATTTCCATAACATTTATGGCCTTCACATCCTAATTCAATTTAGTGGAATACATGAACCGGAGTTGTCTTGTAATTTGTGGGAAAACTCATTGCTTTATCATCAAGACCGGGTTTTCTTGCTCAATGGTGAAAAAGTTGCCTTCATTAGGGGTATTTTGACTTGCAGTGATGATCCGCATTTTTTTCTTTTCTTAAGGAGTCATTGAGGGGATACACTCATAAAAGGAATGAAAGAACAAACTTGGAAATGGGTGTTAGGTTTGGTATATATATTATTAGTTGCATCCATATGGATTGCTGCTAGTTTTGTGGTTCAGTCAGTAGTAGATGCGGGTGTTTCCCCATTTTTAGTAACTTACATTTGTAACTCATTATTTGTGGTATATATTCCCCTGGTTGAAATTGGACGTTATTTGGAGGATAAGTATGGAAGTGTTTTGTTCTGGAAAAAAAGAAGGGGTTGTAGTTCTCAAGAACTGAGAGAATCTGAGGAGGTCATTCTTCTAGGGGATGGTTTTGAAGTTGATGCTCCAAGTTCAAGTGTTGTTGCAGATGTTAAAGAGGCCTGTGGAATAATAGTTCAGGGAGAAGATTTGATTGAGAAACACACCGATATTGACCTGGATGCAAAAGGGCGCTGGACAAGGACTAGAGTTGCAAAAGTTAGTCTTTTGATTTGCCCATTCTGGTTCTTGGCACAGCTCACTTTTAATCTGTCACTCAAGTACACAACAGTTACGGTAAGCATTTACGTTGTCTAGATTATTTCCTCTTTACTCTGAAGTATATGTGGATTTAGAGGCAACCCTACAGGCGATGATCCGGGAGGCCCACCATAAGGGTGTATAGGGGACAAGCCTTCCCTTCATTATGTTTATCAGTATAATGAGAAAAAATGAAAACAAGTAGAATAAATAGAATAAGAATCGGTTTGGTGAGAGTGAGACTTATTTGACTGACATGGATTAATCTCCTACCTTTATAGGTAGCAACCATTTCAGCCAAATAAGAAGGCCAAAAGCCACTTATTTTGCCTATTCTTCTTGTTCTTCTGTTGAATCAACTGAATTTGCTGATCAAGTGGCTTGTGTCTACCAAACTGAGCCTGAGTATCTTTGATTTTCTCATTTTGCTTGAATGATTTAAATATTTAACCAAACCAGAATATTGTCCACTTTTGGTCCCACAACTATTACGACTCTCACTGTTGGGCCTCAATTTTGATTATTCCATTTCTGCTTCTATGACTAGATTTTTAGTGAGTTATGGTCCTTCTGACCACTTATCCCGTCAACTTCTGGTTGATTTTCACCAGATAAGTGTCCAGAAAGGGTCATAAGTTGTAACAATATCAATGACCAAAAGTGGAAAATAATTAAAGTCAGGGGGGAAATGAAGCAATTTAGCCCTTTGTTTTAAATAATACCTATTAAACTGGCTCATAGTTATACTCTATTTCTACTTTTGGGCAGTCCAATACCATCCTAAGTACAGCATCCAGCTTGTTTACCTTTCTGGTATCCGTTGTGTTCTTGGGAGAGAATTTCACATGGGTGAAGCTGCTTAGTGTTCTGCTTTGTATGGGTGGAACAATCATTGTAAGCTTGGGTGACTCAAAGTCCGGAGCATCTGTTGCCTCTTCAAATGCAGTTCTTGGAGACGTACTTTCTCTTCTCTCATCAGCCTTATATGCTGTTTATATAACCCTTATTCGTAAGAAGCTGCCCGATGACGACGATGAGAAGTGTGGTCGTGTTAGTATGGCACAGTTTCTTGGTTATTTAGGTCTATTCAACCTTTTGCTTTTCTTACCAGTGTTTCTTATACTTAACATTGCCAAACTTGAACTATTTACGGCTATTACCTGGAAGCAGCTTGGTCTCATTGCTGGTAAAGGTACATTTACAATTTGCTGGTCTGCTGCAGTTTGATTTGTTTCTTAGTTAACGATATGGTGTACTACGTACATTTCATGAATGTTAAAAATCCATTTGAGTACTTGAAAATATGTTGCTTTCAGAAATGTTTGTTGGGGAATATATTTTGGAAAGTGTTCTATGTATAATATGCTCCCTGTGTCCCAACATAATTGCCCCATTGCCTTTTCGGACGGAGTTTTATGCAACACATCTTTTATTGAGAATTCCTTTTATACGCTTCTAAAAGTTAGGGAAGAAAGCTGGTTTGTTGTTAATAGAAAATGCTTAGTAGATACCTTTGAATGGTCGACCCACAAGTATTACTTTTCCGTACCGATACTAATACCTATTCAAAGAAATTTACTACTCCGTACTAAATTTGCCCGTTTATCCAAGCAAAAAAACTACTTGTCACAATTTTCACTAAGACACAAACAACATCTAATTGTTACAGCGGAACTTATAAGTGCTTAGAAGTCGGGCTAATGTTGAATTTAGTAAAATCTAAAGGATAAATAACACATTTGGTAGTAGTTACTTCCATTTTAGGAATGGGACAGCATAATCGGAAAAAACTGAAAAAGGAATCCGGGACATTATCTTTGGGACGGAGGGAGTAATGCTTAACTCACACAAAATAATAAACTAAGAATAAAATAAAAACTGGTCAAGGAAAATGACTTCCTTTTTTCCAAGGAAATGTCAAGAATTTAGGAAAATGTCTTTTTTTCAAACATAGCCCAAGTTTTATACAAAAGGTGTGGTGCACTGTTTTTGAAAAGTTTAGTCCAAGAGACATTTTTGAAAAGCCACAATTTTGAAAGGAAAAAGAGGCTTTTGCCTCCTATTTGCTGATTTCTCCCAAAATCCATTCACGCTTTCTGTCCATGGCCAAGCTTCTGCTTTTTTGAGCAAATAAGGTCCATAAGATGCTTAAACCAACACTAATTCCTCATTAATGAGCATTAATTGCAGCTACATCTGAACGGATGTATCTAGAAAATAAAAACTATAGGGATCACATAGAGTAGAGGAGTTTCACTTTTGCAATGTTGTTAAGCTTTAGGTTTAGTTGCAAATAATCTCTTACTGTCCTTATATGCCAAAGTGCCTCTTTTTTTGAAACCAGATAATGCTGGAGACGAGAGCCCAAAAAATATTATCATATGTCATCTTGTCATAGTTGAGAGCATTGCTAGTTGATAACCTTAAATTTCATACCCCGGGTGTTATTAATAACCTTATCATTGAAATGAATGCATTCAAATTTTCTTTTGTGATATTCAACCTTGATGCACTCATTTACTGTGTCATTACTTTTGTAGCATAATATAACTTGATAGATCAGGACTCTTCCATCCCATTTTAAGTTTTTGTATGTCTGATTTTTGCTTCCCAATGAGAACTCGTATACTGATATACTCCAACTGGGTTGGTGCTAAAAACATGCCTTTAGTACTTCCGATCACATAAGGAGGGAAACCTATGATGAATTGACAATGACAATTTTGAAATTTCAAATAGCATTCCTTCTTTAGAAGGTTGTCACGAGGGGCATTTTAATGATGTTTAAATAATTTTGGAACAGTTAATAGGCACTATAAATTTCATGTCAGTGACCCCCACATAAGTGCGATTGCCGATTAAGGAGGTGAAGATGCATCAAATATACTTCTCCTATGTTGTTCACTTTTACTGGATGTCTAGCTAGTAGGTTTTTCAAAGAAAGTAAGTTTACACATTTATGAATAGCAAATAATTTAGAAAAAATGTGAAAAATTCAGGATATCTATGTCTTTTATGGATGGAAAAGTAGCCAAAAATGAAAAATGGAGCAACTAATAGTAAACTTCCATAAAAAGAAAGTGGAAGAAGTAAAAGTGAACAGAGAGAATGTATATGTGGTTTGAAATGCTTCATTGTGTGAAATGTGAATATGTAAAAAGATATGTGACTATCATTCCTATCATCCTTTGTGCCAATTATAATTTTTCCTATAATGTGCAAAACCTTATGCTTTCCCCAATCGTCTTGGTCTGATGTTAAAGCAAACCTTGTTCAGGATTGCTCGATAACGTGTTGAGTGATTACCTATGGGCAAAAGCAATCCTTTTGACTACAACTACAGTCGCAACAGCTGGGCTAACAATTCAGGTCCCATTGGCTGCCATTGTGGATTCACTCACAGGAAATTCACCTGCTCTTACGGATTATATTGGAGCAACTGCTGTAATGATGGGTTTTGCCGGCATTAATATACCTTCAAATGCATGTTCAAAATCTGAAGAATCAAATATTGAATTAGAAGGTGGAAATTCTCTGCCCGCCCAACAAGATCATGCCACGCCCCTGTAGATGAAGAACTGCATGCTATTTGTTAATAGTGATCTGTTGTTTTGTGTTTTTGAGTGAAATGCCTAACATTTTTTAATGTCATTGTGGACAAGGGATTTGAGGAACACATTTGATTCTTTATGTTGGTGTTATATACACATACGTTATGTACAGAAACTATGAAGCACTATGAGCAAATGAAATTTTATTTCGCGGACGCAAAACTAAATAGTAGTCGTATAGACATGGTTGCAGGCAAGAACTGGATTAGGTTCATTAGCCTTTTACTCAATGGAACCAAAATATCAATCTAGAACCGTGATTGATACCAATAGGCAATGATTGGTAGACATCGTTACATTCTTGCTTGGAAGGAGGGTGAACACAAGTCCAATTGGTTCAGGTCTGACTCGTTACAACTAGGCATGGCCCTAGGCCGTGCCGGGATTGGGTGGGACTGGGGATTTGGGCCAAAGGCCCGGTACCGGCACGTAGGAATGGACTCGGGCCGGGTGGCCCGACCCGGAACCGGCCCGGGACCGGTACTGTTCCGGACCGGCCCGACCCGGTGGCCCGGTCAGTGACCGGTCTGGGTAGGCCTGGCCCGTGGGTTTTCCGGTCCGGGCTCGGGTCACCAAAAACAAGGCCCGACCCGGCCGGGGCCGGTTCGGGCCAAAAACTATTTTTTTTTTCAATTTTTTTAACTTTTCGGGTTGGGCTGGGTATTTTGGGCCATTTGGGGTGGTTTGGGGGGTTGGGGTGGGAGGGGGGTTAATTAGGAAGAGGAAAACAAAAAAAAATATAATGGGCCCGGACCCGGACCGGACCCGGTGGTTACCCGGGCCGGTCCCTGGTCCACCATTTCTAACCCGCCGGCCTGCCCGGGCCTAGGCCCGACTCGGACCCGGCCCGGACCCGAGTCCATCCATAGGCGGCACGGGTCGGGTCAATTTTTTTAATTAGTCTTTTCTAATTTATTCCTACCCCCACCCCCCCAAACCCTGCCAAAACACCCAGCCCAACCCACCTAGCAACGGCCCAATGCCAAAAAACTAAAAAGAAGACCTGAACCGGTCCCGGACCAGCCGGGGCTGGTCCACTAAAGTAAGATCCCGAAGCCCATCCCATTTGACCCCCGGTTCGGGCCCCCAGTATCGGTCCCGGTACCGCCTGCCGGGCCGGGCCGACCCATCCCAGTCCATCCCTAGTTCCAACTTCCAATCCTTCTTAAGGTATGACTTAGAGTTTGTCCCGTCTTGTGGTGTGGCACAACGGTGTCTACTTGAGTTCATAAACTTTTTAAAATATAGACATCAAATAGATTCTCAGGCACCGGTCGTGAAAAAGTGAGTATAAGAGTTTGCATGTGAAGTGGGAGTGGTCCAAGTGGACCAAATTCCACACTTGAGATCCTCCCATGTGGGATGTTTTGTGTTCAAATCACCAATGAAGTGAATTTGGGAGAATTTTCTCAAATGATCGTTTAGCTCAGGGCTAGCCTGAGTTGTCGTGCAATCATTCAAATGTCGGTGTGAGGGTTAGCTTCTTTTTAGGAAACTAACATTATTTGACCAATCGGTGAAAGTTCCCTCTTGAGCTGCGTTGGAACGAGAAATATGTAAAGTCAATCAGTTAAGAATGATTTCTTGTGTGCGGTGTTGTATAGATGGGCATTGAGAACTTAATGCACTGTCCAAACGACTCATACTTACTTCTCTCAAAGGTTTGAAGAGCGTTTTGGGATCACCTATTTTTACCATAAAAAAGAAAACAAAGATTATAAGGATTTGTATGGTATTGAAAATCACCTAACCACTTTGGAAGCAAAACGACCTCTAACTACCAATTGAACGGACCCAGATCGGGACCGTGCCCATGCCTACCCATCCCATGGTCCGACACCACGACAACTAGTTTGATTCTAACATGAACTAAACATAAGCAATGGGTTCAAATCTAAATCCATCATCAACGTTTGGAGTACTAAGCCCAAATCATTCTATTCCAAAGTTGTTTTGAACATAGGGGTGAAAAATGAAAGAACCTAAATTTTGTCTTTTTACTCTTAAACTTCTCACAATCTTTATATAAAATACTAGTAGGAATCAATGAATGGAAATATACACTCCCTCCTTCACCCATTTGGGGCTCACATGTGAGGATACTTTACAAATTAAGATAATGGGCTTAACTCAGACAAGCAACAAGCTACTATAATATTTCAGCATAATATTAGTTGTGCACGTTTTTTGTAGATATTTCGTACATTTTGTCAATATCACAAATAATTCATCTAAAAATAGAGTTTTTTTGAAATTTTGTGGTAATTGTCTGTGATACGTATAAAATGTACGAATCGGGTATAAACACATGTATACCAAAAAAAATTATAATCTATATTACCATTATTTTGTATTCTTGTTTCTCCAAAAATATATACACAAACACTCCAAAAATGTCAATTTTATTACTCTAATTAACCAATAAAAGGAAAAAACATTTTCACATTGAAAAAAGAAGAAAAAGAGTGCATGTGAGATTATTAAGACAAAATGATGGTTCCGGATAGGGTAAAAGTCTAGAGGGGGGTGAATAGACTTTTAAATCTTTTTCAACTTTAAAGCGTTTTTCCCTCTAAAGAGTTAATCTATAATCTTTTGAGAGATTTATAGATGCACAGCGGAAGTCTTTACCCTCTATGGAATCCGTGTGTGAGTACTTTCTATCTTGGTAGAAGATTGAATCCAAATGTCTAGCAGTTGGCTTGGCAGTTGGCTTGGCAGTTGGTTAGATAGCAGGGAACTGCTAAGGCAACTGCTGAAGAAATATTGAGTGTTTGATGAAAGTGATGATGGAATGTTGCTGAGATTGATGAGGGCTTTCAGAAAATGTACTTTAGTAAAGGTAATCAGAAGTTTTACTGGAGCAGTGGTCTCAGTAGTTGGGTGGTGATGAAGGAACTGTTGGGGTACCTGCTTAGTTTAGAAGGTGATTTTCAGAGAGCAGTTTGGTCAACCTCCTTGTTGGTAATGTTATGAAGGTCTGGTGATAATGAGATGTTCAAGAGAAACAAGTGTTTATGAGCAGAGAGCTCAGCAGTTGGGTGGTTTCCAGGGAACTGCTGAGGCACCTGCTATACTCAGAAAATGAATTTCTGGAAATTGATAGAACAGGCCTTTTAGTGATATTGATGCACGTCTCTTGTGTGAAAATAGTCTCAAAGAAGGTAAGTAGTTAAGCAGTAGGATAAGCAGTTGGGTCAGTTAAGACAACTGCTTAGGATTCCGCTGGCAAACTTCAATCTTTTTGTGAGAAGTGCTAAGTGTGTGCTTTGTTGAATAAATGTAAATCAACACACAATGTATCCTGGTTCAAAGGTGGTGTTATCCTCCTACGTCCAGTCCCATCCTCTTTCAGATGGATTTCACTAAAGTATTAAGCCCAATACACTTAGTGTCAATCTAGCCTTTATAACACTTGGGCCTAGATTGAAGGTCTTTCAGAGTGAGTATAGCACCACTCAAAGTTACTCAGTCCTTAGATTTTTCTCAATTAATCCAGTGGGGATTAAAGGGTACTCTATGTCTCTATCTATCTATCCACACCTTAGGATCCGAACAACAGTTCTCCTAAGTGTTTACAATAATTTATGAAATGTTACAAGAAAGTTCTAACCTCCAACTAGGTACTAAACTTCTATGATTTAGCAATAAATAGCTTATGAACTGGAAGTTTAGTGAAGCATGAGTTCAAGCAGAGAGTAAAGTTAAGTTTGCACTTTCTCTTTTGCTAGATAGCTCTTGAATGCTCGAAGGATATTTTTCTCTACTTTGGATGCTCAAAGCTTGGTTAGAAACTTTCGTTTCAGCCTATATTTATAGGCTTCTCCTGTGAATTAATTTCATCCGTTGGTTAGGATGAATTAATCTCTGACGTTGAAATTCTTGCAAGGACGAATTGTACGTTCGTCTTCTTGTGCTGGAGCATTTATTGAGGCTGATCTTTTTGTACTGAATAATTCAGCCGCTGAAGGTTCACTTCAGAATTAGTCCCATGTAGCGTACACTGCTCCGGACCCAGTACGTTTTTGGTATTAAATATCGGTCAAATTTGTCTTCAATCATACATATTCAATGTATGTAATAAAAATGTGATATTTAATTAATCTTTGGACTGAATAATATATACCGGTAGGATCAAAAATATCCTATTAAGGTAAATAAAAATTACCTTATTGCATTTTTATTTTTCCGGTAGTATTTCATTAGTCTCAAAAATTGTACATTTATTTTTGTCACATTTTTGAGTGTTAATACAAGAATAAAACTGAGACACAATGTACACGTGTTAAGTATAGTGGCATCATCAAAATCTATCAAAATTGGGTACTAACACAAAAATATTAATTATTTTAGATAGCTAAATAAAATAAATGTGTATATATATATTCAATTTATAAAATGCAATTTGCATTTTTTAAACTTGTGATTACAATTTACAACAGCCAACTCTTGTTTCTAAAAGAATTTGAGATTCTCTGTCAAAAAAAAAAGAATTTGACATTCGTTAATTCAAAGTTTCAACCGACACACTATATCAAATATAAGACATTGTTTTCTAAAGTTATTGTGGTTATTTATAAATAAATAAATAAATAAAAGTCAGAACACATTAATATATGGTTAAGATTTTGTACACTAAAAGTATTAACAAAGTAAATATGTTGACTGTAGGTTGATTAAAGAGAAAAACAGGTTATTTAGGGTAAATACATTATTTTCGTATTAACAATGTGCATATTTAGGGTATGTGCATTGTGCATATTTAGAGTTGCCGACCCCGTTGGATTACAATTTGGTCTAACAATTGAATCCTATTTGAGAATTAGTTGATAGGATCCTTTTTACTATGAGAGACAAAAATGAAGAAGATAGAATGAGATCTCTCGAGCTTTGCATAACACGCCCTATCAATTCAATAGCGGAGAATGCCTTAGGATGTTTTAACCAATTTGCTGGTTTGGTCTGGTTTCTTTGTATTTCTATAACTATTCAAGTCTGGTCTGGTCTGATCTGGGAGGAATTACATTGCCATGATAAGAGACTCGATCATACTCCATTTCACGAGTATTCTGGAGGCGATCGCATATTCACAAACTATGTGTAAGGGTGGAAAATTATGGTCTACTTATATATATGATTTACTTTGAACCCGAAGTACTAAGA